TGTAGAATCTTAAAAAAAAAATGAACTTAAATACACAAATAGACCCACAGGCATAGAAAACAAATTTATGGTTACCAAAGGGGAAAGGGTGGGGGAGGGATAAATTAGGAGCTTGGGATTAGCAGATACACATTATACAAAATAGATAACCAACAAGGGCCTACTGTGTAGCACAGGGAAGTATGCTCAATATTTTGTAATAACCTATAAGGGAAAAGAATCTAAATTATTTTTCTGTATACCTGAAACTAATACAGCATTGTAAGTCAGCTATACTTCAATGAAAAGTAAAAGGAGTAGGCAGCTTGTGAATGTCATAGTTTTCTGCTTATAGAAGTATGGAGAATCTGGATATCTCCCTAGCAGGAATACTGGGCTACCTGAAGCTGAACTTTTTCCTAGCTATCTGAACTACTTAAGAACTACATTTTACTCTCAGGTGCTTCCTTTATTAAACTGTGTGTTATCAACTGAAATTACCTGTGATAATTAAAAAGAAATGCTGTATTATTGCTACAGTTTTCAATGTGATAGGAATGAACTTCAATATTTAAGACTTATGCCGTATTCTGTTTTGAAATATGCTAAATTTTTTGATGACTGTCTTACAGTAGCAAATTATTTGCTACTGTAAGACAATATAAGTTATTTGGAATTTTTATGAAGTAGTTTTTTTTTTTTTTTTCCCTGTTACTCGGACCATGAGAGTTTTGAAAATTATGAGTTGATTATTACTAAAAAATGAAAAGGACTAAATGGAAGCATTAGGAGTAAAGGTGTTTAACTGGACTGTCTGGATGATCCAGAAGCAGAGTAAAACCAGAAGGACATCCTTTATGTTTTCTGTGTTCTAGGTTTCAATCAACTCTTTTTAAGTGTTTGAGAAAGTCAAGGCATATCTCTTTGTGGACATACGATTGTATCAGAAAACAGTATAGAATCTATTAAGTCATATGGATTTTCTAAAAATAATGGAACCAGAAAAATCAAGCTGCCGTTAACCTTTATGCTTTTCGAGAGGTCTAAATATTTTTGTTCAAAAATAGTATGAGTAGTCAATAAACACATAAGACCTTTGGATTCAAACACTGCAATAACCTAGGCTTTTATATAAGTTATTTAAAGGTTCAAATAAAATAATTCCTGCATTTAGACTTATTTAACTTAGATTTTGTAATTTTAATATATCACAAGTAAATAGCAATTTATACATATATAGTAGGTATAGATACATAGGTAGTAGGTCTCAACTGTGTTTTACGTTAGTCATTTTTATTGGCAATACAAAAAGCAGAGGAGATTTTCAGGACAGTTTAGTTTGAAACATGATTTTAATATCAAGGAAAATCTTGGTCCTAATTAGTGTCAACTAATACTTAAAAGTTTTGAATAAACAATTGTAAAGTTTTAATGAACCTTTAAGAAGTATGTAATCTTTTAAATAGTGCTGGTTGGTTTAAGTGTACTGCATTACTACTGCCCCTGAGAGGTTTCAAGCATAGGTAGCAGAACAGAAGGAAAAAGGCCCTAAGTATTCTTGTTTTGAAATGTAAAACTAAGTGAACTTTCTGGGCATGTGCATCCCAATCTGGATATCACCTTTTCATGAGATCCTATGGTTAAGGTTGGAGAGGCTATTGCCTACTTGTTAGAATGTTACATTGTATCCTGCCCCATTAAGATAAATATAGTAATTCGAGTACTCCTAATCACCTAAAACTTAGCCTTGTGTCAGAGGCTAATGGGGTTTCAACCGGGCAGTTGGCAAGATTGAGTACACATCTTTCTAGCCTCTGTTCAAGCCAGCCCTCAGCCTCCATTTGTTCACTGGGAAGGTATGCCTAGCATTGGCTGTAAAGTTGAATAAATTATTGGTCTCGGGGATCCAGTACGTAGTGTGATGACTATAATGTATTATTAACGGTTCTGGGAAAATGGAAAAAATACATGTAGATAACAAAACCAATTATCTTTGGACAGCATTTACAATTAAACTAGGTTACAAGCTTTTCCCGCGAACCCACAAATATCGGGATGGGGACAAAACACCAACCTGCCTGGTACTGATTTCTATGTGAGTAGAAGTTAAGAATTGGGGTAGCATCTGACAGGCTTGAAAAGGAGAATCTCAAGTGAGCCTACTAAAACTGGGAGTTTTTCCTCTCCAATAGTGAGCACAAGGTACCCACAGTAAGGATTAGAGAGACTGGAATACTTTACCTCAGTGAACTCTCAAAATGGACCTGTCAAGGCAAGACTCCTTTTAAGGACGGGACCCCACACTGAGGAGAAAGTACTGAAAGTGGAATCCTAATCCGCAGGGTCGACACGGTGGATTGAGAGGGCCTAGATTCAACTGTGGGAGGGGAACACAGCCAGGAAAATCTTAGAAAGCATGCCATCAAATATTTGAACACTACTCAAAAATGACAGAAAAGGTAGAAAAGATTTACTGAAATTCTGCATCATTCTAAAAGTTCACGAAAGTAATTTCACTTAAAAGTAATAGAAAAATATTAATGTCAAATCTCGTAAAAGGTTGTCAAGATGTGGTATGTATGAATGCTTTAGTGAACAAAATGGAGGAAGGATCACTGAAGAATTAATTTTAGAGGGAAATTGTCAGCAAAGCATTCATGGAGATGTAGCATTTGACCTGGGCCCACCATGCTGTTACCTAAATCAAAGTTTAATATTGAGCTCTATCAATAATTCACCCTGAGGCTTCCCTGGTGGCGCAGTGGTTGAGAGTCCGCCTGCCGATGCAGGGGACACGGGTTCGTGCCCCGGTCCGGGAGGATCCCACATGCCGTGGAGCGGCTGGGCCCGTGAGCCATGGCCGCTGAGCCTGCGCGTCCGGAGCCTGTGCTCTGCAACGGGAGAGGCCACAACAGTGAGAGGCCCGCGTACCACACACACAAAATAATAATAATAATAATGCACCCTGAAGGAGGCTTTAGTACCACTGGTTTCCCTTCTCATTCTCTCAAGGGATATTCTCCTTTTGCACCTATTGTGTGCTGTTTGATATCAGATTGGAAAGGGAGGAGGTTATAAGATCATTACTTATGAAGGCAAAAGGGAAGGGCAAGGAACTTGAGAAAATGCTATGTAGGGTCGCTGATCCATTTGCATTCTTTTACATTTGTCCAGCACCCCTCTCCTGCTCCTTTAATCCTTATCTAGCCTAGACTACTGGGCCTGTCACTATAATTACTGTTGTTCTGCGGGTTTCTTCGTTTCAAATCATTCTTGGTGTCTGTTTTCTCTCATCCCATATCCAATTATTTTATTCAACAAATATTCAGATAATTTATCCAGTTATTTTATTGAACACCCATCAAATATACCAGGCAGTCTTCTAAAGCGCTGGAGATACAGCATGGGTCAAAACAAATGTCCTATTCTGGAGTTTTGTTTGGCAGTAGGTGGAACATAAATATACATGGTATAAGTGCTATAAGGAAAAATAAATCATGGAGAGAGAGTGGAGAGAGATGCTCTTTATATATATTGCTCAGAGAAATCGTCTCTGAGGTTTCTACTAGAATGTAAGCTCCAGAAGGGCAAGGACCTCAGCTGCCTTGCTCATTACATTCCCTGTGCTTTAGAATGATGCCTGGGACATAGTACATTCAATGTTAGTTTAATGAATAAATGTTGTGGACACACAGAAATTAGTTGAAAAATTCTTATTTTTTTTTTTTTTGCTGTACGAGGGCCTCTCACTGTTGTGGCCTCTCCCTTTGCGGAGCACGGGCTCCGGACGCGCAGGCTCAACGGCCATGGCTCACGGGCCCAGCCGCTCCGCGGCATGTGGGATCTTCACGGACCAGGGCACGAACCCGTGTCCCCTGCATCGGCAGGCAGACTCTCAACCACTGCACCACCAGGGAAGCCCCAATTCTCCCATTTTTTGACTGTGTTGGTCAGCAGCAGACACAGTTGATCCTAAATTATCATATGTCACTCCAATGCATTTCTCACTGAAATACTAGAAGCAGTAGCTTTTTTAAAAAAAAATAAATTAATTTTATTTATTCTTGGCTGCATTGGGTTTTTGTTGCTGCACGTGGGCTTTTCATCTAGTTGCAGCTAGTGGGGGCTACTCTTCGTTGTGGTGCGTGGGCTTATTGCTGTGGCTTGTTGCGGAGCATGGGCTCTAGGCGCATAGGCTTCAGTAGTTGTGGCACGTGGGCTCAGTAGTTGTGGCACACGGGCTTAGTTGCTCTGCGGCATGTGGGACCGAACCCGTGTCTCCTGTGTGGGCAGGCGGAGTCTTAACCACTGCGCCACCACGGAAGCCCAGTAGCTGTTGTTTCTTATGAAGCCAGTAACGTCAGATCAGAATTGAAAATTGGGATATCACCTGCCAGTACTTGGTGGTCACTTTACCATCATCATAGGCTAGGCCACATCAGCATTGGCAGCCTGGATAACCTGGAGCGTTTCATGAACGAACATTCTAAGTACTGCAATGCTGCAGATTCCTCGATGACAGCGTTTAGCATCTGCTAGTCGCATAAGCATATAATAGATGTTTGCTGAATAGACGAATGAATTATTAAACAAATCGCGACACTCCACGGCAAGCGGACTTGGGAGAGCGGCCCCACTTCGGGTCTGTATGTAGAGGATGACACACTTTCCCTGCGAAGACCTGTGTGGGGCACGAACTCCGGATCGTGGGCCTGATCCAAGGGCCATAATGGCTCCATGCTCTGGGCTGTAGACACCCGTATTATGGGAGCAACCGGGAAACCTAAAGGCGAGTCTTGAGCATGCGTCATCGTCCCGGCGCGGCCTGCCCCGCCTACCTGTGCCTCTAGGCTTCTATTGGCTGCCTCGCTGAAGGCCCGCCCTCTTGAAGGAGGAAGACACTCAGTAGCCAGTCTAAATAACCGTAAATAACCTGACGTCATTCCCTAACCAGTCACAAGCAACGATCTTCAGCCTTGTCCAATGAGGTCGGGCACGGGTCATGGCCCGCGGAGTTTAAGTTTAGTCGGGGGACCCGGAAATGGTGAGCCAATTGTGGAGTCAAGGGACAGGTTTGGTGGCGCACGGGCGGAGGCCCGCGCTTCCAGCCGAGTTACCCCGGCCGAGTGAGGGGCTACAGGGCCAAGCTCTGGGCCAGTGGAGGCGTCGTCACCGCCCGTGGTAGGCAAGCCGAGGTGCACGGGCGGACACGTGTGGACGTCTGAGCGCTCCTGGACCAGGACGAGGGCACGCCGGGCCTCGTCCTCTGCGGATTCCGCGGCAAGGTTCCTTAACGACTGCAGCTTGAAGTTCCCGTGATTGCCGGGAGGCTGGGCTTCGGAGGAAGGTAAGCCAGGCGACCATGCTGGGTTAGGAGAGACGCCGAGGGAGCTTGGGGCCAAAGCGAGTGATGGGACCGGGCGCTAGTCTCGGCCTTATTTAGTAGTTAGGTGACTAAGTCACGTCGCCTACCTGGGGTTCATATTCTTTAAAATAAGTAAGGAGGGATGGGTGGTACTCCGATACGTTAGTGAGGAAGAGCTACCGTTCCTTTTGTCAAAGCCTTGAGTCGGCCCCCTGCCTGCTTTCAAGGATGGGTTGAACTCATTCCTCCTAAGAGCCTCAGCCCAAAGCTTTCGGAGAGAGGGCGCATCGCTGTTGCAACTAACTTGAAGGCTTCCCTGCTAAGTTTCCAATTTCGCTGATTGATATTTATTAACCAGGTCCCTTCAGAGGCTCAAAAATATCCTATGAATTTTTATGCAACTTAACTGATAAATTGAAGTTTCTTTTACCAACCCTTCCCCATTCCCCCGTTCCTCTTTTTCTCTCCTCTCATTAAAGTAATGCTGGCCAGAGAGATTAGTTGATGGTGTAATGTGTAACCAAAGGGGTTTTCCAGTTATTTAATACAATTTTGTGCGGCAGTTATTTATCAAGAGTAATGTTTTCTAATTTTTTTTTCCCTTAAGGTATCAAGAAACAATGTTTCCTTAAATTTGCTTCTGTATTTGCCTCATCAATGTCATTCATATTGAGTATCTTAAGAGAGATGCTGGAATATTTTGGTGTTCCTGTAAACCAGGTAAATGTCTTTTAATGGATTTGAATGAACCTGTTGTATTTGTTTGAGGTCTTATTTTGGAAATGATTTATATGTCAACATTCAAGGCAAAATTGTTACTTCTCTATATGTGTAACAAAGGCGAGTTTCCTTTAGTATAGCTTTGATAGTTTGAAGGGATAAGATTATCAGGAACCCGTTTATTTGATAGGTCAAATGCCAACAAAAGATACAACCGAAGCAAAAGATAGACATGACCTTCATAGATAAAATATTTTAAAAATATCTAGTGGCTTTATTTAAGGTAATTTAAGTTTGATACTTGGATATAGAATGGCAAGTTATAGCTCAGCAAATTCAGAATAAATATTAAGGAGAGAGGTTGGCTTAGGTGCGAGAAGCATAAGCAAATCAAATTTTGTCTACTTACTGAGTAGCTACGACATCTAAGACAATATGCTTGTTTCTGTAGCTGATGCAGAGTAGCAGTACATGGTTCTTGTATTCAGGATGCTTAAAATATAATGAGATAGGGCTTCCCAGGTGGCGCAGTGGTTGAGAGTCCGCCTGCCGATGCAGGGGACACGGGTTCGTGCCCCGGTCCGGGAAGATCCCAC